GATATATTTGTGGCTTTAAAAACCATCTCAGTGTAGTTTTACATCTCCTCTCTCAGGCTTCTCTCTGGAGCTCTAGTAACAACAGGTCGGTGAGCCAATCAGAAGAGAGGAGGCTCTGAGCCTCTCTTCTGATTGGCTGACTGTTTTCTGAGTGATCCAATAAAAATATAGCAGATTTCAGATAAAAAACACTCAGAGAAAGCAAATCCTGCAAGGTTTGGATGGTGGGTCCAGGTGGGCGGGGCTTGGTGACTGCTTCGTTGTGACATCACAAAGTTCCAGAAGTCCTGACGGCTGGTTTTAAGGCTCAGTTTCTGAATACAGGCTGTGTGCATTTCTCTGTGGACTGAGGCTTTGATACTTTCACAGTATTAATATAGAAGCTAGAGCTGATCTATAATCACACTACACATGGACACAGACCTTTACACTGGAGGAGCTTTAAAGAACACCTGTAGGCTACAAAATAAATTGCATTACCAACATCATGCCACCGACTTTTTAAAAAAATACTTGAGAAAAGTGCACAACAGTAAAGAGAGTATCCTGTGTGTGTGTACTTCACAGTCGGGGGTGTATCATGAGGAACTGCAAGACGATGCAAAGAAGGATCCGGACTCTTCTCTCAACTCTTCTTCCTTTCTTTCTTTCATCCCGCTCTGCAGTAGCAACGCAAGATGTCAGTGATCTATGATCCGCTCGGCAGAGGAAGTGAGCAGCATGAGGCAGAACCTGCTTCGATTTGCTCATTCTCTTCTACACTTGTCACCCTCTCTTTCACTGATCCGAAATACAGGAAAGAGAAACCAGCCCACTGTCTGAGGTGAAAGTCTTAAAGGGCTCCTCCTTCTGTGTCGTCTCGCCTCAGCTCGGCTGCTTGTTGGAGAGCGTCTCCAGAAAACGTCATGGAAAAGCCGCAAGCTAAAGAGGAAGGTCACAGCTCCGAAAGGATCTGAGCGCATTCCCCATCTCCTCCCTCCGCCACAGCTGTGTTTATCATGAGCAGTGTTTAATCTCACTGTTTAGCAGTGAGTCAAAACCGCCTGACGCCACGGCCAAAAGAAATGAAACAACAAAAAGGAACGGCGGGATAAAGAGACCGTGCACTTGCTCCAAACATCTGTTTTAAGGCATGGCGATGGTTATCGAATGTGGGGGCCCGTGTGGTGTTGAGTGCTGGTATTCTCTTCTGTCAGGAAGCCAGGTCATCTCCAGAGTGTTTCGGTGAGCTGAAAAATCTCTCCGTGTCCAGATAAAGAGGCTGCACCTGACCGTGACTTGATAAGGTGAAGACAACTCTTTACTCATGGCGTGATAAAACCTCAGCCAGCACACTTGAGCTCCTTTTATACCATTAGTGTAACAAGGTTGGGATCTCTTATTTTAACCCATTACACCAGTAGAACATGATTGTTCCTGCAGATTAGAGGACGCTTCAGTATCTCCAGTGAACGCAGGTTCTCCTAATGCATAAAATGTTGTTTGTGTCCTGACACCACATTAACTTGTGATGCGTTTATTGGTTTTTGGCCGTTCGGGGGAAGAACAACAAGCGGTTGTTGTGTGTATTATCGCCTCATAGAGTTTCATGGTGTCTGTTTGCACATCCAGCAGCTGCGGTCCTGCGCTATAGAACACATTCAGAGCGAACCAAAACCACAACAATGAGCTCAAAGATGCGAGTGGAGCTGCAGGATCAGGTGATATCAAGAGAGTTCACTCATATAAAAAGATTTATTAATGCAGCTTTAAAGTTGCAGAAAACAGCAAAGAACACCAGGCAACTCCTCCCCAAACTGAAAGGCTGTGAAACTGAATACACCCATGTATTGTGCCTGATCTCTCTCTGACAAACATAATAAGCAGAGAGTTTGTAGGTGGCAGGTCTCGTCAGGACCTGTCGAACAATAACCCCCTTGTCAAAGCAGCTGCACTTGCACTTCTTTTATCCTCCCCAATGCAAAAAAAAAAAAACTCCACTCCAACTTCTGGTCGTCTGAATGCCTGAGCGGCAGAGCTGTCATTTAAGGACACATTTCCCAGGGTTGGTACCATGACTCAGCCACATGCCACTCGTCAAGGAAGCCTGACTGAGGTTTGGGAGGAGAGCTCCAGACTCCTGACCACAAGAAAAAAAAGATTTATTTTATCTGTGTCAGTTTTTCCACCTTTTTTAAAAATGCACAGTTGTGCAACATGTGCTGAATAATTAAGAAGTGAGATTGTGTTTATACAAAAATAGAAAGAATTTGCTGCACGTCTGTTCGTCCAGACACTGTGTTGCACAACCCTGGTGTTTCCTGTTCACTCGGAGAAGTCTCTGTGACCTCTTTCAGGATCTGGATCTAATCATAGGCCCTGTTTTTCCTCCCCACTGTGTCTGAGGTTGAGTGGCAGCATAATCTTATTGTTCTTATCCCCGACTGTCATGAGTGTGTGTTGGACACAAGGAAGCAGCCACTCCTAGACGGACAGCAGTGATTTCACTTGTTAGTGACCCAGTTTCTGCTCAGCCTTCACTCATGGTTCTGTCTTCACTGTGTTTCCATTTGAACAGCTCAGAAAGGCGAATGGAAACATGGCTGTTTCATCTTATTCCAACAGGTGTGAGACACAGAACAGCACAATACTGTCCCCCCCCCCCCCCCCCCCCCGATAGTGACTGCCAGTGTCTGAAACAAAAGACCGACTTGTCTTGAGTCAAAGCCAACTTTATTGTCAATTCTGCCGCATGCACAGGACATATTCTTTCACATCAAGGACCTTGAACTGGCACAAATTAGACCACAGAGCCCCATCCCATAAGATTTTTGCTTTTAGACGTTTTATCACAGAAAGTGTTTGAAACCCATGATCAACATACTCATATATTCTGTCATTGCGTTACTTCTAATTGTATTATACTTAGAATTATAATGAAATAAACGATTCCCCTTTTTTCTGCAGACCCCCAGGAACCCCCTCAAGGACCCCTAGGAGCCCCTCTTTGAGAACCACTGGTTATAGAGCTATAGAGGGTCGTAATGTGGTTTTTCCCAGATCCCAAGTCTTAAACACAACAACAAAGGTTTGCAAGATCAGACAGTAGGGCTCCTACACCTATTTTCACTATCAATTAATGCAATTAATATAAAAGCTCTTGTTTTACCCAAAGATATTTGTTTTACAATCAAATGACACAAAGAAAAGCAGCAAATCTTCTTCTTTAACAGGATCAGGGAATCTTAAGCATTTTCATTCACAAATGACCTAAAGGGTTAAGTCATTATCATTATAGTTTCCGTTTAATTTTCTGTGCGTCAGTGGAATTGATTGATTGACTAATTGTTGCTGGGTCGTTAGAGTACGCTGTTGAACGTTCCCACAGCTCTGTGCGAGGGATCCAGGACTCCGTAATGAAGACACATGCTTTTTACAGCAGCTCAGATCCAGCTGGGAGTTCTGTTAGAGCAGTTTTCCGCTTCAGGATCATCACCGCTCGTCTTTTCACAGCTGCCCCTCTCCATCTGTCACATCACAGCGCTGATGTCTCTTCCTGCTATTATTTCCTCTGATACACACCAAGAATCCTTGGATTTGACCCACTCGTGTCTCTAAACCATCTCCTTTCTGTCCACCCCTCATCCAGCCATGATAGCGGCTTAATGAATGCAGTGTTTGTGGGGGGTCTGGGAACAACTAGTGTGAAACAAGCCTGTCAAGTAAATGCTTCCCTGATTACAGCTGCTCTCCTCCCTCCGTCAGGGGCTCCTCTTGTCTCGGAGAGGCCTGCGGTGGGAGGAGACGACCGAGACAAATCGGAGTTTCAACAAAGTCCAGCGGGACGCAGCTCGGTCCCCGGAGGCTCGCATCCTGCTGGATTTATTTCCAGCGCAGATAACAAGTTAATGAGCGTGGTACAGAGGGGGCAGTCTGCTCAGTGGTCACTGCTGTAAAACTGCAGCTGCTCCGGCTTTTCACTACTGCAGCAGACGGTCAAGTCATTCTCCCAGGAAGAGGAAATTGTGTCTGTGTGTGTTTTTCAAGATAAAAGTCTCAAAAACCAAAGACCTGATTATTGAATTGAGCTGATTAGCACTCAGGAGAACAGGCACACTGATGCCGGGGAAACTGATGTTCAGATACTTTTGTGTACTCTTAGTCTTTGGATTTTTTTAATGTAATTAAATAAATTTTAATGCTACAGTATATAATGATTTTAGAGAATAGTTTGATTCCAGGCCCATAAAGAAATGTTTTATTCAGTTTTGGGTGGAGGAACTTGTCCTGAGTGGGATCTCAAAACTCTGCAGCCAGGTTCAGAAATCTGGTTGGATACCTTCCCAGAGGAATGGAGCCTGTTGCAGCAGAAATATTAATAACCATTAATCACATACTTTTGGCCACGTTAGTGTCTTCCTTTGCACAATGCTTCTGCACATGTTGTGCCAAGTTTGTGGTTTTGAATCTTCCAGTTCTGATTGAAACAGTCAGAACATTTTCAGTTGTCATTCGTTCCAACAGCAGGCTGCTGCTCTCAGCTCATGCATGTACGGGTTACTGCTGTTATCACCCGATGACTGTCTTTCTGCAACGATTGGTTGAACTAGAGAAAATAAATCACAATCAAATAATGATTTTAGTTATTTTTTAAGTGGAAATGTCAAATATTTGTTTTCTTATTTCTTGTATCTTCTCAAATGCTTCGCTCTGTCACAGATGACAGTACACAGAATATAGATTTAGATTCTGAACGCTTGGTCTGAACATGTCACCTTGGTCTGTGGGAAGTTATAATGGAGATTATTACTATTTTCTGTCAAAAAAAAAGCTTTTAAGATTAATTGATAATTAAAATAATTGTTAGCTGTAGTGTGTTGAGTTCTGAACACTATTTCCAGTACTCACCCTCATACTGTCAGGTGGTTTATCACATTAAAACAGTGCTGAGTATCAGAGTTTTCTAACTGTTTCCACAGAGTGACAGTCCTAACTTCCTCTTCCTGTCTCGTCTCATCCAGGTCACGGAGAATGTCACTGCGGGGAGTGTAAGTGTCACGCCGGTTACATCGGCGACAACTGCAACTGCTCCACAGAGACGTCGTCCTGCGTTTCCGATGACGGCCAGATGTGCAGCGGGCGCGGCAGCTGCGTGTGCGGCCGCTGTCAGTGCACCGAGCCGGGGGCCTTCGGAGATACCTGTGAAAAATGCCCCACCTGCCCCGATGCCTGTGGCACTAAACGGTAAACACCACACACTGTTTGACGGCCAGTCGGGTGTCAGCTGATGGAGACGGTCAATGGGTTTGTTTGTGTGAGGATTCAGAGTAACAGCAGCTTCACCTCGGGGATTTGCCTCGGTGATCAGGTGCAGTCCGGGGAAAAGGTCACGTCATCAAACACATCACGTCTGAACCCTCATAACTCACTCGCTGATGGACTTATCTCGGCTTTGATGACACAGTCATAAGAGAGTTGTTCAGATAACTCTCATACCATTTGTGACCCTGAAGAAGTGAAGCCGTCGCCCCCCCCCCCGACGTTTGAACTAGGCTCTTTGAGGTTGAGGGTTAAACGCCCGTCGGACGTCTAGTAAAGAGAACTTGTCTTCTGTGAGGACAGAATCACTGCTGCGTGCTCTAAACAGGCCTCCTCACCTACACATGGATCCTGTTTTCCAAGGCAGAGGTCGACTTTGTGGAGCGACCTTTGACCCTCAACCTAGACTTGAGTTTAGAGACGAGTCGTCATCGCCCTGTCAGCTGTGTGTCGCTGCGATTGTGCTTCTGGTTCGATGGTATTTGACAGATAAAACATGATAAGATTCGCCTTTATTGATCCCCGGAGAGGAAATTCAAATTGACGCAGCAGCACGAAAGAATCGCAGCACAAGGGGAAAATGTGAAAAAGAAATCAAATAAAAAATAGAAACAGAATCTAGAATAAATAAGATAAATTAGAAATACTATATACAATAACATGCAAATGCAAGTAGGCATTTCTGTACATGTGCAAATATAAAAATAGATATAAAGAAGAAAGAAACAAATGTTCCGCACTGGTACCAAGAGAGGGGCTCGGGCTGTTTTTTTAAAGCCTCCACTCTGGGATTTTGTTTTAGTTTAGTTTTAGTTAAGTATTTGTTTTAGTTTAGTTTTGTTTAGTCTAGTTTAGTCTAGTCCAGTCTGCAGGATGTCAAGAAGACAGGCTTAACTAAAATTGATGCAACATTAGATCACAGGAAGAAATGATCCTTTAAAGGTCAAAAGCAAAAAAAACCCAAAACAAAACCAGCACTGAGTCATTTAAGAGGAATAAAACACTCCAGGGGAAGGTGAAAGCAGGAAAAGCTCTCCCTTTTCAACCAACCAGGTTGACTGACACTTCAGTAATTGAAATCTCCGGCTGCAGTTCGTTTGTTTTGTGCGCTGCACAGTTCACACACTGTTGAGCTGCTTGTAACTTTCTGCAGAGACGTTTCCAGTGTTTGAAGACGGAGCAGTGGGACGTTTTCAACAGCTGGTGCAGCCAGAGCTAAAATAACAAACGGCATTAAAATAACACATCTAGAGGATTGTGCAGATCTGTGCTGTCGGAGTCTTTTCTAGCTCATGATTACCGTTAAAACAGCCTCGTTTTAAAAGAGTAAAAGCTGTAAAAGCTCATGTTTTTCCTTTGAACTTCCCCTCCGCTTCAGGGAGTGTATCGAGTGCCGGCTCTTCAACTCGGGACAACTTGCAGACAACCAGACTTGCCAGCGCCTGTGCAAGGATGAAATCATCACTGTGGAGACCCTCAGTGAGTACACACTTCTTCCACACACACACACACACACACACACACACACACACACACACACAGACCAGCTGGCTGGCAGGGGAAAGTATTCACATCTGCAACAGTTTCTCTTTTCACATTACATACCTCCTCCACTGTCACTTTTTATTAGGCCTGTCACTGTTGTCGTCGTGGGGCCGTGCCAGAGTACAGTAAGTCATCCAGTGATTTCAGCTAATGTGACACCTGTGATGTGATAAATGACATACAAACATTCACTCTGGGGCCAAAACGGGTTCGGCACCGACGCTCTGACAATAACTGTATTTTAAATATTTACATGCAGGCGGTCGATTAATAACAAGATTAATGCTCAGTGTGTTTTTCCCTGTTTGACTTTAAAGGCAAAAGTCTGTAACTTTCTGTAAAAGACGTGAAATGGTGTCGGATCGTGGGAGTTGTTGTCTTCACCGTCAGCTTCTCCCGGTTTGGATTCCTCCAGTGTCAGATGTTGAATTCTCCACAGAGGCGTCCTCCTCTCCAGAACAAACGCACCAGGGGATTAAAACCAGTAGAAAAAACAAATGAAGCAGTTTACCTTTTTAAAAAAAAAAAAAATCAGTGATTCGCCGACGCTCTTCGGCGACACAGGAAGTCTCGCCTTTCTCAGCTTTTTTCTCCAGACGTCCGACGTCTAAAATCCTTCATCCGGTTCAAATACATACGAAGTAAATGTGACTTGAAACTGGATAAAAAAAAGTCAAAGTTGAGCTTGTGGCAGGAAGCCACAGCACTGACACGTGCACATAGAGGATATGAAAATAGGATATAAACTCTGCATCAGTATCTGTCAGAGAGGATTATTTTGCCTTTAAGAAACTTCCTCTCCATCCTCACTGAGGCGTCAGAGCGGCTGCGGGCTCTGTGGTTGTTTGTGCCTCACGTCTTCTCTGTGGTCAGTTATGAAAGCACGCGGTCTTTCACCGGTCATGCCTTCATGTTTATATATGATTATGTGGCAGGTGTCAGTCTGGGCCTCCTCCACACAGCAGGAAGCAGCAGCTCAAACCCCCCGTCCCGTCCGTCCGGTTCAAAGAGTTCAGTCCATTCAAGTGTAAAGTCCTGCATGGGCCTCCTCCATCCTCGCTCCCTCTGTAGGGAGAATCCGCCCACTGAACAAACACGTGCCTGTTGCACAGCGTCGCCGCTCTCTTGTGACACTTTAAAAAGAAAAAAAGAAAAAGCAGAGAGCTGGAGTTTGAGGTAACAAGTGCTTCAATCCCTAAAGCTGTAGCCTGGTGGGAAACAGTCAGATGTATTAACAAGTGCAAAGTGCTTTGCGGCCTTCATGGCGCTGGGTTGCTGCACTGCTCTGCACACACAGAGACAGAGGAGACTGTCGGGTGTGTGTGTGTTTAGTTACAGAGACTATTATAAGACCAGTCCATATTGGCGCAGCGTGGCTCTGGCCCAGATCCGACGTGTTTCATTGCATTCCCCGCTAGTTCAGCCATCTGACTGGCCCTAATGGACTCCACATGTACATTCCAGATACTTTGTGCATGAAATACTAGAGGGAGGGGCTGATTGAGGGGGGGGGGGCTGACTTCACCCCCTCCCTCATGAGCTCCTGAGGCTTTCCGTGTGAGGAAGATTGACTGAAAACAAGGGCACGTCAAATATCAGCGTCTCAATCGGGGGAATGTATTTTTTTGTGATTTCACAGCAAAGAAATTCAGGCTATGTGAGAACACAGCCTGACGACCAGAGTGTTTTCTGTTTATCCCCGAGTCCTCTTCCGTTTTACCTCGTCTTCTCCTGCTCTCCCCGTCTTTGCTCCTGAGTCTGAAGCTCGATTCATTATAATAACATTAATAACTGCTTCAAAAAAAACCAGTAGAAAGTCAGATCCTGCAAAATTAAAGAAACAGAAATGAGAAATGTAGACTGCTCCTTGTCCAGTTTGAAGAATTCTCCATAAATGAAGATAAAGGGCAAAGAGGAAGAAGCAATATAAAGACATTAACTTCAAGGTGATTGCAGACTGTAAGTGATTGAGCCTCAGTGTGTTTCTGTGTTTCTACTTTCCTCTTTCAGAGACTGACGACCCCGGCGCCGTGCTCTGTCTGTACAAGACGGACAACGACTGCGTCATGAAATTCACGTACTCCGAGCACGCCAGCGGACAGTCCATCCTCACTGCTCTTAAAGAGCCAGGTCAGTAATTCAACAACAAGTGTGACCTTTTGACACCTGCGGAGAATCGAGCTCCTGTAGTTTGTTTTGCACGGTGCGTAAATCAACAGGGACTGGTCGCCACAACTTCAACATGACCTCAGATTATTTATTTCCTCCATGCTGGCGACTGTCAGAGGGAGTGGTGATTGATAAATACACTGTCAACCAATCACATCACTGGTCTTTATAGCCGTGAAACAGCTTCACAAATCACAGTGAAGCATGAAAACCGCAGCTCAACAAATAGACAGGCTTCTTCAGGAAATCATATGGTGCTGTCCAGACCCGAGTGTATCATCTGTAAATTACTGAGACGGAGCCTTTTTATTTTAGTGTGTGCAGCTTTTCCAGCCTTTACGGCACTGGTCACATGACGCCACTCAGCCAATCATTTCTCGAATTGGACCTCTGTGAATTTTAATTGAAGGCCGCTGCTCCGTGTCTAAAAGTGTGAATTTACCTTCTGCTGTGTCAGAGTGTGGCGGCGGGCCTGACGCCATGACGGTGCTGCTGGCCGTGGTCGGCAGCATCCTGCTGGTGGGAGTCGTGCTGCTCGCTGTGTGGAAGCTGGTCATCACCATTCATGACCGGCGAGAGTTTGCACGCTTCCAGAGCGCACGCTCACGTGCCCGCTATGAGATGGTGAGAATGCCCCCCACACACACACACACACACACACACA